ACTGAATTCTATGCAAATACAGCTGTGAAGTTAAGATTTTTGAAAGGGGGCCGGAGTAAATCAAGTCGCGGGCTGCCAGTTGTCCATCGCTGTTCTAGACCAACCTCTTTACTTGCATCAATTAAAGTTTGTGAGTTTTTCTTTATGGTATGTACATTATCACCCAGTAGATTCACATCATCGGCATAGGTCAACAGCTGATGTGTCCCATTTAATTTCAGTCCCACCTGGTTTCCCTGGACCTTCCTGGGCATATTCTAAAGCAAAGTTGAAAAGAAGTGGCGATAAAGCATCTTGTTTTAGACCATTCTGAACAGGAAATTTATGAGACAAATGTTTACGTACACGGACTTTACTATACATTTCATTTAAACACATTTTAAAACCTAACTAGTTTCATGGGTATCCCAAACTCTATTAGAATATTGTACAATACTTCCCTCCTAACTGAATCATAGGCATTCTTGAAGTCTACGAATAGCTGATGTACTGTCTCATCGTACTCCCATTTTTTTCTCCAATATCTGACAAATGCAAAAGAACTGATCTGTAGTTGATCTGTTACGTCGAAACCCACACTGATGATCCCCAATAATTTCATCTATATATGGACTTAACCTTGANCCGTTTCAATTTTGCAATAGCACTTTGAACCTCAAAAGGGCTAGGATCAGGTATTAACGGCTCACGTGTATGGATTTCTGTCTGCCTAACAGCATTGGCCCTATGTACATTCAGTAACTGAGAGAAGTAGTTCCTCCACCTATTCAAAATGTTGTGGGAATCTGCAAGCAGATCACCATTCTCATCCTTCACTAAGTTACTGCTAGGCTGGTAACCCCTCTTAAAGTCATTTATTCCTTTATACAGGTCTCTAATGTTCTTGTTCTTACTGCACGCTCATCAATTTTGTCTTTCAGATATGCCCTCTTTTTGTTCCTGAAATGCCTGCTGGTTTCACGTCTTATATTGTTCAGATTATCCCCATTTATCTCGATTGGATCCTGTAACCATTGCAGTTTGGTTTGCTTTCTTTGATCTAATAATTTTGAGCATCCTTTTGATTTTTCACACCTTTACTTATTCTTTGCAGGCAAATGCTGGTATAGTATTTTCAAAGAAGCTTTGACAGTGTCCTTCCAAATCCCCTTTCCTACTCACCATGCAGGATAATCTTTCCACTGCATTTATCAGTATGTGACATTTGCAGTTGAAAATGTTGTTAAATAACCTACAATTGAGTTATGCCCAAATTATCTTCCTTCCAACATTCTCTGACTCACATATGACCAACATTACATGACAGCCAGCCAATGAAGTGCCTGATGCTTGTTTATGAGATCCAGTTTGAATTCTGGCCACAACTAGCGCTCTCTGATTGATGTGAATTTTTCCCACCCTTTCACAGCACTGTCAGAATATGGCTTTAGCCCACTGTGTACTAATAATAAGCCTGGATTCTGGCATAATGAAAGTCCTAAAAGGTACCTACATGGAAAACTTAATGACCTATTCCAGGCAGCCTTAGCCTTTTGGCCATTCAAACATGCAGCTTATTAAATTAAACATGATGTTAATCTACATAATGACTGCTTTCTGCAACATTTGTCTGGCAGTCGTCTCAGGTTGTTACAGTTATTCTCTTTAATTTTTGTGAATTATCTTAGAGTTTACTTCTGTTTCTTGGTATTGTTTATTGTTTAATTCCATATGACACAATCAAAGATCTATTTACTGATATATTCAAAACTGTTCTAATCTACTTGTGTTTCAGAACAGGCCTGGTGTTCAAGGTATCAGTTACTGTCAGTGTGAGAGTTTGACTGCATAGTTTAGGCATCATCTCAACAGACTTTAATATCTATAATATAAAAAACAATAATTTCCAAGGAGAACACACAAAGTTTAATTTCCTGCTGCACAGATTTATAGTTTTATTGATCTGTTACTCTGTTATTGTTATATAATTTTTTGCAATAGATTTGTTGCATAATCACAGATCATTACATCACAATCTCAGCAGTTCATACAACATTATAAAAATAACTAAATTAGCAATCAGTGTGAGCTCAAAATGCATACAGTAAAGTCTTTTTATTACCAGGATACTGTCTCTAACAGAAGTTCTGATTTATCTTAAATAGGTCTCAGTTTGAACACATGAATTTTCATTCCCATGAAAGTAAGGGACAGGAGACAGAATTTATTCTGTTGGTACCTGAAACGTTTGTTTAAAAATGTTCCTGATTTATGTGTTGAAATGAGTATTTAAATCTTAATGTCCAATATGAAAGAAAATTAAATTTGCTGATAGTTGAACTTTGCCAATATTCAGGCCCTGAATCTTAAAATACAAACTCCGTGGCTTTAGTCCACAAGTGAACTATACCAACAACCTCTGGTCTAGTAGTCAGAGTTCCTGGCTACAGGTCCAGAGGTCCCAGGTTCGGTTCCTGGCACTACCACATTTTCTGAGAAGTAGTGGGTCTGGAATGGGGTCCACTCAGCCTCGTGAGGATAATTGAGGAGCTACTTGAATGGAAAAGTAGCGGCTCTGGTCTAGAAAACCGAAATTAATGGCCGCGGGGATTCATTGCACTGACCACATGACATCCTCTGTCCGCTAAACGTTGGCACTAACTTTGCTGACAAGTGGCGGTCTCTTGGTTGGTCTTAAATACACCAAAAAATACTAAAACATAAGCAGAAAAATAAGAATGAGATTGAACATGAAGGGATGAAGTTAACCTTAGGGTGTAAGAAGCAGCCATGATCCAGGAAAGTTGAACATGAAAATTAAACAGCAGAGGGAACAAATACTCAAAGCTTCACAGAAATTTCTTAACAGCATCAATCCTGCTCTTACTGAGCATTATCTGATGAATTAATCTCAGCCCAGCATGCGAACAAAAGTTTCTTTTCTTGCAGGCAAAATCTGACTTCAAAAGCGGTTATGTCAGCTGATGAATTAAACTGAGCACAGCATGTGAAGAGAAGCTTAAATTTAATGAAAGTACACAATTTATTCCTGGCAGAACCTAAAAAATATCCACAGTTTTACTTTACAGCACCTGGAAGAAGTCCAGTCGGGCCAGAAAATCGCTGATGTAGCTGCCAAGGGGTTTCAGGGATGGATATGACTGTTTCATCCACACAGATGGGGTCTTTCCTGTGAGGATGCTTGTCACCACCTCTTCCAGCTCAAGTGGCATCACCATCAAGCCTGATAGGAAATTTAAATTTCATAGTAAACACTTGCAACAGTCCACTTCACAAAACCAGAGAACTTGGTAGCCTAGTGGTAAGGTCAAAATAATGATGTCATACTTCTTTCATGACTGTTGATGACTGCTGGATTATTGAACAGTAGTATTTCAGCTGCATAAGTTATATAGCCTGAAATACTAAATTGTGAATCAGAAAAGATGCATAAGTGATCATGGCCTTGAGGAATTAGGAAAAATCATGAAAAATCTCAGTCAAGATGGCCTCTCTGGACCAAGACTTGAATCTGAGATCTTTAAATACAAATTAGAAATGCTAGCTGCTTGATCATGACATCTGGTTTCATACCTGTTGAATACACAACATTTTTATAAATAGTTAGGTGATTTTGGCATTTGCATTAATGGACACTGAAAATGTTATTCACAAATGGTATTAACTGGCAGAAGAATATAAGACAACATTCTGTACAAAGTATGAAAAATCTATATTAATTAGAACAGCAATTTCATTATTTGCAGTGTGAAACCCTCTTATAACACACAATACAATAGAAAACGTTCTTAAACCAATGTTACAACAAATCAGTTATTTTCAGAAATAGAAGTAAAACAAAAAATTGCATTTACTTTGAAATAAAACTAGTGTAAATCTCAAATATTTTCACAGGTTGTTACAGTTATTATTCTCTTTTAATATCTGTGACTTATCTCATGGTTTACTTTAGTTTTTTTGTTGGTATTCTAACAAAGATCTATTTACTGGTGTGTTCAAAATTATGCTAATCTTCATGTGTTTAAGAATAGGTATGGGATTCAGGATAACAATTACTGTCAGCCTGCAATTTGTCCACATAGATTAGGCATCATCTCCATAGACTTTGGTATCTGTAATACAAAAAACAAGAAGGTCCAAGCAGAATAAGTTTAATTTCCTGTTGCATAGGATTATAGTTTTACTGATCTATTACTCTGTTGTATTATTTCTGTGATAAGTTTATTGCATAAGTACAGATGATGTGTACAGTAAGTCTGACACTCATGATCTCAAAGTTTTGCAGTGTCACAATGTTTTTAAATGTTGCCTTACAAATAATATTTACACGTAATGTACAAGTACAGTGACAGATCTGTCTTCATATGAAATCACACACACCTAGTTCCCAGGTTTCATGAAATGTCACCAAACTGACAGCCAAGAAAAATTTTCACATGACAGCTATGATGTTATTATATATTATAAAAGCATTTTTTTTTATTGCTAGTGGGGTGGGACTATGTTCCTTGTACTGTGGCCACTTCTGGCGTATTGTACCATCCCCAGATGATAGGTGAGGGTGATTGTGGAGCAATTGATGGAATGAAGATTGGCAGGGGGAAACCGAAGTACTCAGAGAAGACCTGCCCCAGCATCACTTTGTCCACCACAAATCCCACCTGATTGAACCCAGGCCACCACAGTGGAAAGCCAGCAACTAACCGCTTGAGCTATGGCGTGGCCCTATTATACAAGTAACTGGCAGTAGTGTCACTCCCACTCACACTGTTGCGCACCCGCCTTGTTATTACTGAGTGGCAAGTGGCATTGGGGTTGCCCCCAGTGGTATAACATTCATACCAAGTTTTGTGTAAATAGGTCAGTGGGTTCAGGATTTGAAATGGGTGGACACACACACACACACAGAGTCAGACACCATGGTCATCTCAAAAGCTGACAATTTGTCCTTTTAAGGAAGGGAAGTAGGCAACAAAATTCAAATTTTTGCACTCCATGTACAATTTATAACCTGCTTTCAAAACAGAAAATACACCCACAGTGAACTTAAAGAGAAGGATTAAATATGTAAACCACTTTATATGGTAGATTATAAAGGGTTCTGATGATGGTGGATGACACACAGAATTACTGGGTTTTTTAACTTTTTCCTTCGTCCAAAATTCTAGGTAATAGAGGACACAGTGTTTTGGAAACTGGATCTGTTTCTGTCTTCACATGAGAAAGGAAGACACCTACTCAGGTGGGTCCTGACCTGAAGACAGAAACAGATCCAGTTTCCAAAACTTCATGTCCTCTATTACCTAGAATTTGAGATGATGGAAAAAGTCCAAAAACCCAGTATTTCTGTGCATATTATATGGATAACTGGCATACATTCCCAAATATTGTGGAACCCATACCAACTTCACTCTCTGTGTCTATTCATCTTCACTTCAACTGCATACATAAAAATGAATATTTGAGAGGGGAAGTTTGTATCAGTCATTGGTATTCAGTTTTTTTGTAGTTGCAGTATGCAATGTATTGGCACAGTCTTCTGAAACATTTATAGCACTACATGAATTTAAAACACTACATCTTCAACCAAACAAGTGAAATTTACATCATGAGAGTGAGCTTTCCTATAAAGCACATTAATAACATAATATGTTCCAAAAACATAAATTTCAATTTTGGAACATCCAGCATAATTGCTTCATTTTGGTCAATTTTAAATGTTTCTGAAAACTAAGATGTTTTCATGAAAATGTCTCATTTTGCATCTTATGATAATATTCTGCCTGCTCTAATGACATTGCTGAGAGGATTTACAAGGATGATTTGTAGGCATTCCAAAGACACTGGAATGCTTGTATAAAGTCCTTTTTACCATGCAAGATATAAAGGTTTGTGATGATGATAAATTGGTACAAATATGTTTTTGGAATATAACAGTAAATATCTGGCTTAATTAAACTGACTCTCAAACTCATCTACTTTCGGCCTGCTTGTTAAATTTAATCATGATACTCACCCTTGATAGCTTTCTGAACATTGATGAGGCTGTTTCTGATACATGTCAGGAGGACATTGAATCGCCCCATTTCTTGGACCAGCACATTGTTCATAGACTGATTGTATAACATGGGGTACTTTTCCAGGGCTACATCCAAGTCATAGTTCTTAGGAAGTTTCTGCAGAATATCAGCTGACACTTCCAACACCACTTCATCTGAAAACTTCTCAAAGCTGTCTGCTGAAAGGGCATCCTGAACAGGAAACATTTACACATGTACTGTGCACTGCACATAGTTCAGCATCACAAGGTCTTTGTATTCTCAGTTTCATGACAGAAAACTAGGGAAAAGCTGTAATGGAGGAATCAGCAGCATTTTTAAGCAGTTGAGTACAAGATGTATAACTTTTATAGGAATGCTTACATTTTCCAAACCAGAATTGTCCACTTTGTGAAACTGCTGACATATGAGCCCCAAAATGTGTTACATTTCTGCTTTATTGAAATTAATGACACTCAGTATTTAACAAACATAGCAACTGATTTAGGCTTTTAAGTAAGTGACAGTCTGTTTGGGTATAATATTTTGATAATTTCTGGTATTCCATGTCAGTCACAGTTACGTAATGAAATATAAATAAAATTAATTCATAAAGGCCTCTGCTGGTAGTAAGTTACAGACAAGACCTTCCCCACAAGTCATTCTGCAGTTTACTACATTACATTTTCATTTAACGGCAGACTTAAGTGTAAATGTACAAGACTACATGGTGTTATATTGCAGAAGGCAGTACTCCATATACACACCAAGGAGACTGAAATCCAGCATATGAATGCTGTACATTAAAGAATACCATCAAAACTCATAACATTTTAACTGGCAATTTCAAACAAAAAATAGTTAATGCCTTTGGATTTAAACCTTAATATATTGTATTGATTTCCTTTACAGCAAATTTAGTTATCCCAAGGATCACACAGAAAGTCTAGCAGTATTTTAATGTACTTTGGGGAGTAAGAAAGGTCGTTTAGGTCTTTTACATAATGTCACGTATAGGGTGGTATGCGTGGCTGAATCCAAGACAACAGCATTATTATCTAATTAATGTACTGTGTATTTGGATCAACATATACTTGTTAAAACATGTTTCAATATCACTAATTGTGAATAGTGACAGACTGTGGATATTTGATATTGAAATCAGTGTTACTATTAACAGTTTTATTAGCATTTAATCATAAGACATGTGAACATGTGTCAGGATAAGGAATAACAGGCACAATTGATCGTGAAATTGAATTTTATTTCATGTTAGTACATTTATGCTGTTGGAAATTCTATTTCTTTATTCATAAAACTACTAGTCTTCCCATGCAGAAAAATCTGCAATGCAATTTTAAGAACTGTTTTTGTAGTTCACAGTGGTTACTTGCATTACCCATCAAATTTCATGCAGATAATATTTTCTTTTTGTCCTTCCTTCCTTCCTCCTTCTCCTTTGAGTTGAAACAGCTCCCTCATCTCACCAGCAGTAAGCAGTTTGTGTTTTCTTCTATGTCCTACTAATGCCAGATGATTTTTGGATTTCCCCGCATATCCTTTATTGTAGTAATGATCCCATTGTTATGATCCTAGCACTTTCTGTGGAGGAGGACATGGGGAATTAAGTTGGCTAGGACTTGAACCCCTGCATATAACAGCAAAATTAACGATTTTCCCATGGTTGTCTCTCTAAAATGGTCCTTCTTTAGTTTTACCAGTGTGGGAAAGATGGCTGAACAGACTTGTGAATTAAGACAGATCCCATACATATTACACATGTGCAAGGAAGGCCTTTATAAAACCTAAACACTAAAACAGTTCTTACTCAATTTTAATACACTGTTCTGAGGATGCAGCATTGTGAATCAATGCAATATATATAAGTCAGCAATAAAGCAGAAACATCATAATGTTATAAACAGACATATGAGAAAAATTTTAATCCAGTTTTGCATGTGAGCATTATGGTAAGATCACAACCCCACAAGCGCTGAGCATGGTAGTGACAATATTCAAGTTTTCTATGGATGAAAATTTGAAGACTCCTTCCATATGAATTGTCAATGCTTGGCATTAACAGTATGCATGCAGTAACAGGAGCAAAACACAACACAGAACATGATACACAAATGTATGTAGGAAGAGTGCTCATATAAAAGAGGATTGGCATAATTCGCATGTTTGAGTGCGACGTAGGATGAATCCTGAAAAGTTTTATTATTTAGAATTCATCGAAATATATGACGAATACAGATTTTAGTCATTTTAGAATGAAGACATCATGGCATGCAGTACAATAGTTTAACGTGCATAAAGACACCTGATGATGCACATTAGTGCTGAAATATGTAGTGTGGAAGTGAAGAATAAGGGGAAAAAGTGTATACATTGTAAGACTGTTAGCATAAAATGAATCAGTGTAACAGGACGCTAAAATATAACATGCATGGTGAATTTGGATTCAGTGTACCACAAGGTCCATGTATCATATTTTTCGTCACAACTTCATGCAAATCCTTATCGACGTCGTCATCGGGTATTTCAGCGCATATTACATTTCATTTGAAGTGATTTTGTTATAGAGCCAGATTAGTATATGTGCGTGTGGCAATCCTCTTTTTTGCCATTCCACTGAGTACATCTAGCAGCGCACAGACCCAAACACTTCATGTTTCACCATGAAATCCATCAGCGATTTCAGCTTCTGTCTGAAAACACATGCTGTAATGTCATGCCTATCCACCGGCGATTGTCCAGGAAGTAAGAGCTGTTGTATATCGTCCCAAGCTGGATTGCATGTGAATGTAATGAATAGGTCTGGATGCCCTTAGTGACGAACATATGCAATTGCATCTTGAGTGTACTCATGCATATGATGTGGACTGACTATATGAAGATGGCAAAATTGTTAGTTTCCCTAGGTTAGTTGTATTGCCGTCATTTAAAACTGCATCTCGCAAGTGAACGTATTCGTCAGAGCAAAGCTTGGTCTGATTCAAATGGATGAATATCAAACGTTCTCTTTTGATTTTTGCATACATATCTATGCTGTATTGGTGAAACAATTGACGGAATTTCAAAGTGTGATTGTCTTCATTCTCTCGCATCATTAATCAGTATGAATAATAGTTCATTGCGCTGCATTTCATATTTGTTTCTTCGCCACTGACTGGATTTATCATCTTAACGTTGAAGTGATATCCATCGGCACCATCCCAAAAAAATGATTGGATATTGCAGGGCATCGTAGCATCGATGAGTTTCTGCAACTTTTGTCAATTGATCGTTTCTCCAATGAAGAACAATATCTCTAGGTTGGAATTGATCTCTGACTATAACAATTGCCAGTTCGTCTATAGTTGGAGCATTGAATCTTCGCACATGTTGTCCAGCAGGCGTTTTGTCAGCATGAA